TCCACGGGAAGTAGGAAGAAGTTGAGACTAGCAAAAGGCCCTGCAGAAATGCCCTCTCCTTGTGTTGATCATGTGTATAGGGCACCTCTGAGGCCGCGGTAAGAGGGCAGCCTGGCCCGGCCCGGGTGGCAGCTCGGCCGCGGTTTCGCTGTGCCAGGGATGGCCGGAGAGGCACGTGGGCCCGGCCGGGCCTCCCCTCGAAACAGGCACCACGAAGGGGAGAGCTCCTCTGCCCTTGCCGCTTGCCTGTGTTTTGCTGAGTTATTATAAGGTAAAAGAGTATAAACTGGCACAGTGATTGCATTGAAGCAGTTTGGGGCTTGTACAGATATGGTAGTGGGCACTTGGGTGGCACACAATTTGAAACTTGAAATGGGCTTTTCTTGATAATGCAAAACCTCGTGGTCTCATTTTTGGAATTGCAGGTATGATATTAAGAAATATAAACCATTGAGAACTTAAACGTTCTCCACTGAAGTATGTGAGTGAAAATAGAACTTCAAATAAAAAATGGCTTTTACAATGGCGGAGTTTTGGAAAGAAGCTGTGTTTCTATTATCTAGCTGCAACCATATAATACCCTGTTGCATGAGCAGGACTTTTAATACATGTTTACGTGGAGCTCTTGGTGAAAAAGTGAGTGGAGTCTGTGTTTTTTTTTTTTTTCTGCTTCGCTGTCAAACTCCAGAAGGGTCCAAATAGGCAAGGTGCAAGCCCCAAAACTTTCCCTGAGATTCAGATTTTGGTACCACCCTTAGTCTATGAGGCAAACCATTAGTTATTCCTCTACAAATGACAAATATGATTTGCTTAAATATCATGGATTTTTAAATGCCTTAATGTTATTGTATCTTACAGCCACAATAATTCAAATATTGCTTAAAAACGAAAGCTGAAATATTAGTAGCATCAGTTTCATTTGAGGGATGGATTTTTGTAGAAAACTCAGTCCTGCAGGTCTCAGGGTAAAATCCTGAGAACTGGCAACTTTGGTGTAGCACGTTCCTGATATTACATTTTCTTTCTACATTGTGCATGAAATCATATATCAAGTTATTTGAGTACTCATCGTTCCTATGTGTATGAATGTGCTTTTAAATCATTAGGCAGGCAGTATGCTAAAGCCAGATGTCTGTCTCTCAAAAGCTTTGATCCTGAAAGTGTTGCTGAAGAGATAATGAAAATCACTTTTTTTTGTAATTCACATTTTTTAACTTAAACATTTTTCTATTGTGAAGTCCTAACTTTGTACTTTTTATATTTATTTATTTGGTATAAGAGAAAATTTTGTGGAGTATTGGTACATCTCCAGGAAGATTTTTTTTTCCCCATTGAAAATATGTTTAAACAGACCACTCTAGTAGCTTGTAGTTTAAGAACAAAATATTTTTTTTCTGGTTTTGTAAAAAGAAATAATAATAGCTGTGTGCCATGTGGTGTTTTTTAGGACCTTGGAGAAAAGGCCTATTTTTTTTGAGAGAGAGAGGGAGATTTTTACTTTTTCATGTCCGATTCTGGTGGCTGGTGACTGCTCCAGGTGAATGGGCACTAAGAGGCAGTCAGTTGCCTGATGATAAGGAGTGCTGTATTTTAAAGCTGTGAGTCAGAGTTGGGGTTTTGGAAGTGCTACAGTCCAAACAAATGTAGGCATCAGCCATAATTAAGTTTTACCAGTTCCACCAGTAAGATTTTGCTGTCTACATAGGTGCTTTAGACACTCTTTACCAAGTATTTGCATTTAATTGGTGGCATGTTTTATACCCTCTGATGTGTGAAATCTCCATTTCTTGTGCCATATTTTCCAACTGTAGAGCTCTTAAGTAATAAAGATATATTCTAGTAAACCCTGATGTAGGGTTACTATGTATAGGCCTGATATTCCTGGACATTGCAAGAGTAGAAGAAAATCATGCAGCCCTTCGGAAAAGGGGTTACCTTCTCCCACTGCTGAAGCAGAGATTCATTTTTTTCGTTTATTGGCCTGTGTCATCCAATACTGATCGCACCTGACCTTTCAGCAGCCATCTGTCCTAACTCAAGAACTCCTTCCTCCCTGCGAGAAGAGAAGAAACAAGCATTTCTGGATGCAGCGGTTGCTTTGTCCTGAGGTGGTGATGCAGCCCTAGCAAAGTGCTCTCTGTGCTTGGGTGGACTGCAAGAGGTGGCAAATGGCCTTGCTCAGTTGTCCTTTTCCTTTAAATAGGCTCTTCGGTTACATATGTGTGGATGTTTATAATTGCTATGTAGCAAGCTGTGTAATTATTTCTTAAAGCTGCTTTTAGAATTATTTTTCCTAAAGACTGACTGACTGACGAGCCTGGAATTAAATCCACATTGCCTGTGTAATGACAGGGTTTGGATTTTCCCTGCAGTTCATATAGGCCGTATTTCTCATGGCAAGCTTCCTATTGGTTTGACTTGGTTTTCTCCTTTTGTCAAGTATTTTTAGTTGTGGTAGAGGTGAAGGTTGATCTAAGGTGTTCCAGTGACACAGCCTTGGTTTGCACAGTATTTAATTAGCATCTATAGTTGTTATCATCCTGTCAGTTTAAATAAGACTAAGTATTTCAGCTGAAATCTGATGTATGGGAAAGGTAATTTTGCTTTTTGATTGGGTTATTTGGCTGGTGTTGGTACTTATGGTGGAAGATTGAAAAAGATACTGGTAGGGAAAAGAGAGGTAGTACCTTTCTGTAGAGCTAGAAACAAAAGAGAACTTGCTGCAGTAGAATGACAGCAACTCACAGTCTAGTTGCAGAATATTGAATAGTTTTTTTAGCTTTTTAGCTTTTTTTTTTTTAAATCTCAAATTAATCAAGAGCTTTAGTTCAATAATGGACATAAAAGGAAAAATTGCAGGTTTGATATCAAGTGGAAGAAACAAGAGCTGAAGGATTAAATGGTGGTTAGAGGACACTTTTGTTTTGTATTTTAGCTTCTTTGCATTTTGTGAGCTTTTCTTTAGTCCTTGTCAAAATGTGGTAACATAATTCCTCACTTTTTCAGGTTTGCATTGACTCTCTGTTGGTTATTATTCTCATTAAACCGAAGTGTGAAGAAATATGTAAAGATTGTTACAGATTGTGTATGGATTGATGTTGACAGATCTTGCTATTTTAGAAAGCAAAAAGCATTGACTTGATTAATTCCCCTTCAGGACTTGCATTTGCGCCCATGCTAGATGAATCTCATGCAAAGGCTTTGCATTCAGTTTTCAGCATAGCCTATCACTTCAAAGGTGAAATGGCCATTTCTTAGAGATGTAGCAGATTGGGTATTGGTGACTTTGCTGGTTGTGTTGGCATTACAGAAGTTCAATGCCTGATTTTGCGAGCTGCACAGCCCAGTGTTCACTGTCTGGCATTCCAGTTAACTCCCAAGGCTCTCCTTAGATCCGAGTCCTCGGCTGCCTCTCGTCCTTCCTGCTGCTCCTCCTGGGTTTCTCCATCTCACCTGCTAGGCCTTGAGATCATCTAGAGGTGGTCCCACTGTAAAGTCACCTGGTGCAGCTAGATAGGATGATCCCTGTTTGGTCTGCAGTCTGCATACGTTTTTGCTGTAGGTAGTCCTGTGTCTGCCTTCCTTTGTCTTCTTTTATCCAAAAGGAGAGGGTCCAAACAAGCTCCTATTAGGTGCAAGGTCCTGGGGTTATTTTTAGCTATTTGAAACTTAATTCTGTTCTGGGTTTCAGCCTGGAACTGCTTCCGAAGATACTTGTTTCTAGATTCATTTGTTCTTGCATCTTGGTGAAAGAAAAATAAACAGCTGTCCATGGTCAAATAGAGATATTAAATAAAGGGATAAAAGAGAAGATCTGTAACTTTTGGTGTGAAGGTGCACACTGAATGTATTAAGTAACTCAACTGCAGCAGGTTCGTGTTGAATGAACACAGGAGCCAGGAGGACTTGGTCAAATACCTCTGCTTTGCCTTGTGCATATGGATGATGGGCGTTGTAGCACAACGCTGGTGTAGCAAAGAAACTTAGTTTTGAATAGGTGCTGTATGACCCATTTTCCTCTCTTGGGCTCTAGAATGTTCTGCTGCTGGCTCCTGGTTGTGCAAGATGATCATCTTGAGGGCTGTTGGCTGCATTGATCCCTGGGTTTGTGTTGATACCCCGGTCTGCTCTGCTGTGCAAGGGAGGACAGCTTGGCACGGGAGCAAGTGCCAGCACTCGGTTTTGATCTAGGGGAGGAGAAGAGGAGAAAAAGAAATGTAAATGGTACTTTGGATTTAATTATAATCTTTAAATTAGTAAGAATGTAAGGTTTCCCAAGCTGTGATTTTTAGAAGAACTGTAATCATTTTAAGAAAACAAAGCCTGGCAACAAATGGTGTTGAATGTAGAATAAACTGGTATTTGAAGTGTGTGCATCTGGGCATAGCAAATAAGGAGCTTAATTTCCTAATTTGTTTTGGATTTTACCCCCTCTCTCCCCGCCATCCCATATTCCTCCCCGTTGCATTTTCTCCCTTTTGTGCCTACAACTGCATACATTGTTAGAACTGGCACGATGAGCACCTCCAGATGCATCCTGCAGGAACCCAGCCAATACTGACTCTATTCCCGTATCAGACTGCTTGCCAAGGCAGTGCGGTCTGGTTGTCAAAAACCGTTCCTTTTCTACAACGCTTCTAAACCCAGCTTCTTCCTTAATATTTTGACACAAGATCACTTATGATGACCTGAAGAATTGTCCCAGGCTTAAGGTATCTTTTAGTATGTTAAGCCATTCTAGTTAAAAATAGTATTTGTACTGTCTGTAAAGCTCATCTTATGTTTTTCTGTCAGATGAGACAACTCAAGAGGTTCTAATCTATCACATTGTAATTTTCACTGTTCTTTAACTTTCTCTGAATGTTTATCTCTTTTGAATGAAAAAAAGTCACTACTTTCACTAAAGATAATGTATTTGATGCTGTGTTTTACTGCAACAATATCTCTCCTTTTCCTTCTGGGGAAGAGAATACTGACTTTATTTTTTGATTTACAGGTACCAAGCAACAGCATATCAGCATTGCTGCTTCTACAGAATCTTTTCCAAACTGGAGATCTATACTGTCACCAACACGGCCTTTTGCAGAAACTAAGACTGCCTCAGTAGCTGACATTTCTATGGGACAGACTTTAGAGAACGCAAACTTGCTTCAGATGATAAGAACAACACTGACAGGCACGCGTGCCAGAGCTATGGATCAGACTAATCTTTCACCCACTCTTTATCAAGGCAGTGGAAACAGTGCATCGCAGGAACCTGCCGAAGTTTCGGCTGATTCACCTCTGAGGTCATCATCTCAAGATGCAGATGAGCCGGCTGCTGTGTCAGGTTTGCCTCAGCTTGGTATGTTTGCCACATTGTCCACTACACATTCAAGCACAGCTATGACATTTCAGCTAATACCATTAGAAACACCTTCCATTTCAAAAGAAGGCACTTCAGGATCAGACATTCTTGCAGCTGTTCCATCACCATCATTCTCTTCATTGAGTCATCCAGTCACCTCATACCATTAACTTTCCTAAATCTACTCTGCTGCCCATCAAAGTGCCTGTGTTCACAGATCCTGAAAGTTCCTTCAGCACAGATTCAACCACTTCTCAGGTTAGTGAAAGCAGAAATAATCCTCTGAGTCTGGTCACTGTAGTAAATTCAAGTATGATGAATCGTGTGTTACCTAGAAAGGGCCCCAGTTTTTTAATGGCTATCATGTCTTTTAATCTCTCTGGATCAACAACAATGCGTTTTACAGAAATTATGGAAAAAGAGTCTCCTTCAGAAAGGACCTCTGTAGCTGTATCCTCAGGAATTCTGTGCCATTACAACTGTATCTGTCTTCCATGCCAGTAACTTTCAGAAGTGCATCATCATTTCCTGATGAAAGTATGTAAAATGTGTCTTTTACTGGAGGAAAACTCAACAACTGGCCGTTTAAGGCACTGCCAACTGACAGAACAAGGGATACAACGCCTCTTTCATCACCAGTTTTTCAAAATAAAGCAAATACTCTTATATCATTTTTTCATCCTGGGAGTACTGTGTATAAAATACCCAAGATGGGTTATCCTCAGCCTTCCACAGTGCTGGTGAATTGCACTACAAGTGCTACCAGAGCAGCATTCATGTCATCAGCTTCTGAGAGCCCAGTTAAGGGCCAGCTCAACGGAGAACACGCTTGCCCTCGTGTTGCCAATACCAGTTTTTCCAGACACAGGTAACGCAGTACTGCGAGTGCTAGCACTTAGAGGTGAAGCAGATTTTCTTCTTAGAAATACAACAGCCTCCTGTGCAACAAGCGCTGCGTCTGCCTGGCAAGCAAGGCAGACCCAGATCTTACAAGGGCAACGCACACGAGCGGCGCAGCGGCAGCCCGTGGGGATGCTTCACCCGTCACCATTTCCTTGGAGCACTCGGGATTCACCAGGAATCGGGCTTTCTCTGGAGACCTGACGGATGGGGCTTCTGAAGCAAAGGGCATGCTATTGCCAGCTGCTTTGGCGTGTGTTCTCCCAGCTTCTGCTGGCTCTCCAGTGGTAAGGGCAGCTCAACAGTCTTTCATGAAAGGGATCACAGCAAAAATATCCACTAAGATTAATGCTAATAGTGTTCTGCCTTACGAATCTCTTTCCAAAGTTTCTCCAGATGTCCAAGCCAGTAAAATCACAAAAGGCTCAAGGATAAGAGGCAGTGTTTTGGAAGCAGAAATGACTAGGCTTGATCTGGCTGCAATGTTGTTAATAACTTCCACTGAAAGTCTTTCGAAACCTGCACCTGGTGTTGCAAATACCTCTGATAGCTCTGTGACAGCACGTCTTACACCTACTAATTCAGGAAGTCCAGGCAGACGCAACCAGAAATGAAGGAAGCAGTGTAAGAGTGCGTGCTGCTGTAACTCCACAGCCAGAGTGTTCACCTCTGTCAGCTTTAAATCAGCCTGATTTTACCTCCGGTCATACTTCACACTCAGGTGATACAAAGCACTTCACCTCTGTTGTGCCTGCAGAATGGCACATGTTGCTGCCATCTGTTTCCGTGACAGAGATGACTGATAGCCAGCACTCAGGGTTCTTTCGTATTTCAAGTGCTGCCTCTGAAAGCAGTTTAAAACCCAGAAACTCTCCTGAAGTTTCAGCTTCAGTGTCTAAACGGAGCAGTAAGGCACTGCTCTCTGCAACTAGTGTGAATGTCCCTTTAGTCAAAATGTTAACAAGGGAAGTTCCTCCAAGTATTTCTCTGTTAGAAACTGAGTACCATGCATCGTATTCAAAAAAATGTAAATCTACAAAATATAAATAAGCGACCATTTTTCTCTGGTACTTCAACAAACTATACCTCTGCAACGTCCAGTGAAGGTATTTCAAATTTAGCTTTCGTCTAATAGTTTCCCAGAATTTGGTATACGTGCATATGCATTGCAAACATCTGTTCAGTATTCATCCCTTGCTCCTACTATGATGATACCCGCTGCCCTACAGAAAAGCATGGAAATGCAACTGAAAACTTCACTCATTTCTTCACTCTTGGGAATACGAATGTCACTACAGCATATAAAACACCACTCCATCTACATGTTAATGATACAGGTGTTTTGCCGAGTGCTTTGGAATCACAAACAAATGCTGGAAGAGTCTCTAACCCAGTTAGCTTGGATGAGAACTTACTGTGAACAAAGTCTTCCATTCCAGTTACTAGATTCTCTTCTAGCTCAACTCACATACATGGTTTTATTACCGAAGATGAAAGCAGCTCTGGAAGTTTGCCAGAATTTGCAGATAGCCACTTAGAGTTATCTGGCTCTTTGATTCCAGTTGATAAAAATCCAGCTACATAAAGTAAGGAGGAGCGGTACACAACTGTTACAAGACATAGTCTAGTTCCCATTAATATGTCTAACAAAGCTACGCAGGGCATCCCATTGCAAACACCTATCACCAATACTCTGCAGTCAGTCATCATAACTTCTGTCCATACATCACCACCACATCTAATTTCTCCTTCCTTGTCAACAACCAACTTTACCCATTCTGTCATTACAGTGTTTTCTGGAGTGTCTTCTGGTGCAAATCCTACAGTAGGAACTTCAGAAGCTAAACAATTAACAAGAAAATCATCTCCAGCTTCACTAGTGCCAACTTCTTCCTTTTCTGTAGGCACTGAGAACATACCTTTGCCATCTGTGATGGCTTTAAGCACTCCAATACTGACGCTAACAAAAAATAACACTGCCACAAAATTGACCTCAATTCTAAGCTCGGTAGGCATGCCTACAGATTTTCCTTTTGCAACAAGAAACACAACTTCATCACCCATGGAGATGACAGCTAAGCTTATACCCCCTGAAAGTAGCACAATCACAGCTTCCACATTTACATCCACAGTACATGCACCAAGGCAGATAAGAACAGCAGTAATTGACACCCAAAAATTCCCGAGCTCAGAAATCACCAAAACGTCAACCCCCTATCCGCTGACAATTACAGCAGCTTTGACATCTATTACGAGCGTGACGGCGGCTCCGTCTCTGGAATGCCACCTCTCCAGGAACCAGATGCTCAAGACAGGTAGGACTCCTCCGTGAGGGTGCTGACCGGGCCTGGCGTCTGTTGGCAGGGCAGCTGGTGAGGAGCTGGGACCGCGCTGAAGCGGCAAGTAACGTAGACCGTTAGTCCAGGGGCAGATTTGGGGCTTTTCAGCTGAATAGTGCTGCTTGCTGTGGCTTGTAACCCTGCCCTTTCACAGGCAGATTTCCTTAACTGTAGGAACTCTCAATTCGAGGAATCTTGAGAGGTTTCCTTATCCCTGATGTCTAAGGAGTCCTTATGGTAGCAGAGTGCACAACCAGAGACAGGTGAATGTTGGAGCTCTTGGCAAAGGATAGAGCTTAAATTAAAGGGGTTTTGAACCTGCCCAGACATGGATGAGATTGGGGATAATGAAATAAGCAGCTTTGGGGCCTCATGTGCTTTTAGTGGCTGGAAGTATTGTTAGCAGGAGTATAATGAACACAACTCTTTCGAAAGATAAAAGGTGAGTTTAAAAGCTAAGCATCAAGCTAAGCTTAATTAAGTTTAGCTTCCAGTCACATAACATGTGACTGGAAATACTTCAGTGTAGATGCAAATCTCACTCTAAATTATAAGAGAAAGGGAAAAAGCTCTCCATGACACTATAGTTTTTCCTTAGAACAGCAATATTAACAAAGTATATAGATACTTCCAAATCGAAGATAATTTTAGTGAGGGACTAACATTTCCTTGTTCACTTAATTCTGTTTGTGAATGTACAAAGCATATTTTTATGCAGGCCTGCCCATGTAGCATCAGCTCAATCATGGGGGAATGCTGTACTAGTCTATCTGCAATCAAATGACATTGTACCTCACTCAGGCAGCATGGCACAGACTTACTCTTATTATAAGAGCAACTGCAATTGTTAGACTTCGCTCTGGAAACAACCAGCTATTGTCACCAGAAGGACAGTGAACCCTGGGGTGCTGCTGAGCCCCTGTGGTTCTTGCTCTCATTGCAGCTGCTGCAAATTGTAGCTGCTCCCTGATCTCCTCTGAATTAGCACAGTCAAAATAAAACAATAGAAACAAAACAAAGAGTATGGTAATGCCTTAAGCTAGCATGCAACTTCTTGCAACTGTTGTTACACAGTGCTGCTTCTGAACACGAGGAGGTTACTGATGAGCAGTTCCTTCAGGGAAAGTGTGAGGAAAGGACTGAACCAAATGTTGAGACAAGCCTTCAACCAAAACGTCAGCGCTCAGGTAAGCATGTTTGGTTTGCCTGTGAGATCACGCTGAAACGGCTCTTGCACCAAGAGTAATTGCTAAACTTTTATATTAAGCATCGGTGTCCTTTGTGTGGGTGGCAGCAGCATCATGGCGAGCTGCAGGCTTAGATTTACTTATTTCCACATGGGCTGCCCTTCCTCCTTTTGGCAGGTGGCCCCTGGTTTCAGTGTCCCTCCTGTCTGTGTTTGCACCTTATTCCATCTCACTGTCCCGAAACATAAACAAATGAAAATACATGTTGTTTATGGGCCCTATGAAACCGAGCAATTTGGCTTTGTCAAAGCTGAGTACCGGGTCTCTCTGGAAAGAGGTAGAGACCGTAGCTGACTAGCTACTGTCACATATTCCGGTGATGGTGGTGGGTCTCTGGGCATCCCTCTTGGCTGCTCCGTTTGTGCATAGTGCAGCAGCACTTCCAAGCTAGGACTGTTGCAGTTGCATATGGGCCAGAGGCCTGAAACACAGGGAGTTGTTTGTTCTTCATTTTGGAATTCAGAAATAGAACTCAGCTGAAACAGAGAGCACAACCAGGAGAGCATGGGAGTTGCTGAAGGAGAGGGAGGTGAGGTGCGAGGCGGAGTCTGAATGTTAGTAGATGACACAGTGGCCCCCAGTGGCAAAGAGCAGCAGGTCATTCACACCTTGCAGCTGGACAGGTCTGCGCTCAAGTGCTACATACCCGTGTGTCAGGGGGTGTGCAGCACTGCAGCGTGTATTTGGCCACTGCAGAGTCTGCCACTCTTTAACGCTGTAGGTTGCCCTCGGTCTGTCGTAATTTTGTGTCTCACTGAATTCAGAATGCCGTCTTGCAGGGAAGAGTACAGGGCTTTTCTTTGGAGGGCAAGCACAGGTGGCACCCACTCTGCCACTCTGAGGTGGCTCTAAGGTGTTTCGCATTTTATTTGAAAAAGTAGAAGGTAAAAAGTCCTACTTTCTTCTTGCTGTTTTGTGGGAAATACCTGCTGACAGCAGTTATGCTGACTGCTCCTGCAGTGCAGGAGTGAGTGTAGTTAAACAGCTTCTGCTCTTAGCCTAGATCACTTGCAAGAGCAGGCCTGGTAAATGGGATGTCACTGCTGTCAATCCATTCCTTGGTTTGAAGACACAGTACCTGATAAATTCAATTCCACAGGGATGAAAATCCCGAGGGAGAAAATGTGTTGTTGAAAATAATTGAAAGATATGTTCATCACTTCCCACCTAAACTGCATGAAACTATGTGTTGCTGAATGTAAGACTGGACCAAAATAGATGTCTAGCACAATATTTTGTGTAAAAGGAGCTTCTGGTGATGTTGGGCAGAATAGATACAGAACACACGACTGTCACAGGAGGAGTACTCGTGAAGTAAGGGGAAATGGGGAAAGTAGCTTTGCTCAACATGGAGGGCACGAGACTCCCATTTGCCCCTGTGCCTATAGCTGCAGTTTCAGATGATGTAAACCAGTTCAGGAGGTGCAGGTTGCTGAGGGTCTCAAAAACCTCAGTAGAAACTGTCAAGTTTATTCCCCTCAGGATGTAAACCTGAAGGAGCATCCCAGCTCAGACGTAGTTGGAGGACAAGTTACAAGGCTTGCATTTCCTAGAAACTGCAGATTTTTGAGGCAAACAATGAACTTTCTGTTTTGGCTTGCGATGTGTTCATACTTGTGATCTGTCATCTAGGCAATGGCTTATCTTGTAGAGAGAGTGTAGGATAAGTAGGGTGGAACACTCTGAGGTTGGAGAAGGAAATACTGGAAATTTTTACCCTTATGAAAATATCATAATATCAAAGCTGCACAGACACTTGTTCAAAATCAGTGGACTTCAGTTATGAAATGGGTGATAGATGTTCTCTGAATTCCCTGTAGTTTTAGGTTCAAAAGTAAATAGCCCTTTATGTGAATGAGGCCCCAGTGGGAATTAGAGTTGCACAAGCAGTGATAACAATGCTGCAGTGCCCTAAATAGGAACACACGTTGCCTGGGTTAGAACTAGTGGTCCCTAGTTGGTCTGTTAATACCATGCCCGATAATGCTATTCGCCATAAGGTTTACAGGAGGTTACACAAAAAAAGTCCTACAGGGGATGCACATTCACAATGAGAACTCTGAATAATAATTACATTGCAAACCAAATATTTTTCCCTTGTGTGTTTTAGCTTGAAATCCTGGAACAATCAAATAATGTAACAGTTGGTTACTATGTTACACGGGAGAAGCTGGTTTTCATGCCAGCTGCAGTAATTGAAAGGCTTGTTGCTTATGGTATTAGCAATGCCACAGCAGACATAAAGCAGCACGTCCCAAGTCTTCAGTCTGTTGCTGTCCTGGCCTTACCATGGAATCCCCTACCTGCATACCACTTCCAGCTGAAAACAGGTAAGCAGCAACCTGCCGTTGGTGAGAACGGTTGCGTATTTTGTTAACATTTCAGGCCATAAATGTTAGGAGACTCCTCCTGTTGATCATATTTTCTCATCCTCTTGCACCCTGGGTAACAGCAGGAAGCAGCAAGACAAGGTCTGCTACAGTTTAATGTCGCAGCCTGATCCCAGTGTAAGTGGCATTGGCTGTGCCTAAGTCTCTGTTTTGTGCACGGGGAAAGTTAAAATTCCAAATGATCGTCTCAGCCCTGTAAAACAGCATATCCAAAGAGATTTGTTATATGTGCTCTCATATATTTATATAGACATAAATACTGCAATTACTCAGTTAAGCATATTTTTTCTAGCGCAGACAGACTTAGAATCAATATTATGATTATGTCTTGTAAGAACCAGTGACTTGCAAGATTTAAGAGTATGACTACTGTTTTAAAATAGCTTTCACTTACTGCCTATCTTTGAGTAAGTATGTGTACAGTGGACTGGTCTTATATATCACTATAGAAACAATCTCTGTTAGTCTGTGCCAGGTCTAATAATGCAATCCAATATTTGTATTTTATTTTAATTAGGGGTAATTTACACTGGTACTTAAATGTCATCTACCGTGGCAGTATTTTCACCTGATCAATTTGTAAATTGATCGTTTTCCTCTCAGATATTATTAAGAGTTATATGGCTAAGAATATTTTGTGTAAACACAAGTGCATTTTTCTTTTTCTAGAGCTGCAGTTTGTAGGACAAACAGACAATATTCAGTCATGCAAATTTGTTCAGACCATGGAGCAGCGATTACAGAGAGCGTTTCAGGATGCTGAAAGAAAGGTCTTAAATACCAGCAACAACTTAACGGTTCAGGTATAATGCTGATTGCCTTGCCAGTGCTTGTTTTCAAATGCTCTGGGTTATTCTTTGCTGTGCATATGCTTGTGTTTCAACATAGTATCTTTGATAGCCACTTTGGAAATAGATTTATACTGTCATCTGAAAGAGGAAAGTTTTATGTGTTGCACATAATTGGTCATTAAATATGGTGCCATTAGATTTGGCCATTGGAAAAGTCTGATGTGGGGAGGGGAGCCGGTAGCAAAACGATGTGAGGAAGGAAAGGGGAGAGGCCTTCACTTCTTATGGAGAAAGAGAAAACCTAGATAACCACACTGGAAAGGTAGCAGAGAGAGACATACAGGCCTAACTCCTCTGCACCAAAAACAGTACAATATTTTTTCAGGTAATCCTCCTCTCTCTTATAGCTCTTGTTCAGGAGATAGGGAAAAAATGTCTTCAGTCAAACGGCCCTTTTATGATGTTTTCCAAAAGCTCTTCACGTACTAAGCAAAGAATTGAAGTATCACAGACTGTTTTCACAAGAGTGTTGTGTGAACTCTGTATAGTCAGGTAGTCTAGTTAAGCTTTTTAACTGACCTGAAAAGACGCCTCTTATTCATTATTTTGCTTCTGCTTCAGATTTTGAATGCTTCCAATGTCTCCCAAGCTGTCACTCTGTTTTATGTAGTCAGCAATCAAAGTACGACTCTAAATGGTACCATTTCCAGCAACCTTCTTAACCAGCTGTCGGCTGAACTGGTGGGATTCTATCTAACCTACCCGCCCCTCACCATTGCAGAATGTAAGTATCCCTGCTCAACACAGAGCTCTGTAAGAGTAGCCATCCCCATGCATTTGATTTGCAAGCACCATCAGCCTTCTTGTGAAACTCATAGACAGTACTTTTTGGTTGACTTGACTCTTTTTTTTAATTACTTTTTTGTTTAGAGTCTGCTTCAGGATCTAAAACCTGGCTGGTAATTCAGAAACAGCATGTATATGCTCTCAATAATAAACAACTGTGTCAGGTTCCAAAAAAAAACCTAAAATTGTAGTTTAATTTAAAACAAAAACATGGAATCACTTCAATTGTTCATTTCAGAAAAACTTACTGCATCACATCATACGGTTCAGAACAGCCTTTAGCTATGGGAAAGAATTACTACTACTTGTTTCAGTAGGAGGACTTGGTGGCATGCTTTGGATGCCAGCATATCTGGATAGTGGTGAGCTCTGCTTACCTACCTCCTGTGGAAAAGTTGGTGATGAAGAGTTTGCTGAACTTCACTGTGGTCTACGCACGAGTGCCAGTAATCTACCTGCATTTCAATTGCTGTGGAGGTTCAGACTGGCTCCTGTGAGCTAGAGGAAGTCGTGCACCTGGACAGCCTGTATGGCACAAGTGCTCTTTGACTCTTTTTGTATGCTAGTTTCTCTAAAATGATTAAAGAGGCAGGGCATTTGATTATGGAGTTTTCTGTTTAAGCTGTTAAATTCAGCATGTGAAATTAAGCTCTGGATAGGAAGAGATCTGTGTTCACTGAAAGTGAAAGGAGACAAAAAGCCATAATGGAGACATTAGTGCCTGATAATGGACTTGAGTCCATCCAATGGGCAGGTTTCAGCTGATTTCCATGTGTGTAAATCCTCATGAGATACTCCTTAAATTTTAAATACCGTGCTCAAATACATCTCGTTAAGCTTCTAGTAGGCTCCAAGCTCCCTGATAAGGCTCAAACAGTGACAAAGGAGTTTAAGTTTTTAATGTCACAAGTAGTAAAATATTAAGCCTATGAGCATAAAGCTAAGCATGCCTTTTTGATCAGAATACTAAATGAAATGGATTTGTAGCTCTAAGTAAAATCATTAAAGTGCTTGCTTGTTTTCTGGTCCTAAGAGACTGTTGAAAAGTGAGTGCTAGGGAAAATATGTTGCCTTTTTTGCTATTCTGTCTTACAAAGAGATCAGCAGCAGAATAATGATCTTGTGCAACATTTGATCAGTCAGTTTTATTATGAATACTTTGTCTGTTAGGTAAGTGACCCCTTTCCAGTGTAAGTCAGGCATCACAGTGAACTCTGGTGATGGTGCAAATCCTTGTAAAACCAGAAGCATATATTATTCCTGAGACCTTACCTGTCTGGAGCGTTTGCAGCCAAATGCCTGTGGGTGAAACATCAAGTGATGAATTATTACCCTGCATTAGTGCACTCCCGAGACAGATTTAATGAGCTGTCTCTGGGACAGCTTGCACGAGCCTGTGAGAAGACTGCTATGTGGACAGCCCTTGTCTTCACGGCCTTTCTAGGAGCCAAGCAAAATGCTGTGGGGTCTGAGGATGATGGCTCTGCTCTGTTCAGTCTTTTGGCCTGTTGCACCGAAGCGGGTTGTGGTGCCTTTCCCAAAGGTAGCACACGAATGTACTTGTTAGTCAGGAGTGGTGCAAGTCATTTGTCACACAGGCGGTCTCCTGTGGTCTTGCAGTTCTCTGCTGATCTCAGCACATGATTAATTGACCTGATAGAGTCTTTAGCTGGTGCTCCTTTAACAAGTAATGGCCTGTATTTCATGTTGAAGCCCTTGGTTGTATTCCCAGCACAGCAGGAGTAGGGCAAGCTTAATGTGCACGTAGTATTTATGATAGTTTGTGTAGTGAAAGTGTTTACTTAGAAAAGTGCTTGATGCTTATTCATGTGGCAGTGCAGTGGCTTTAGTTTATCAAATGGGTAATGATGTTATTTGCAAAATATGTGATTTCCCAACAGACTCCTGCAAGTCCTCTATAGGAGTCTTTATAGTCTGTCTTAGAAATGCAAAGCTAAAGGCATACAATGAAATTCCTCCTCAAAAGCATTTATTCTGCATAATCTGGTGTTCTTACATTGATTACTATTTCGGAGTTTTAAAAGCATAAGGTAACTAAATATCAGTGCATCAACATGAAATACATGGATATTTTCTTAATGAAATTCCAAATATTAATGCTTTCCATCTTGCATAATTCTTTTGAACAAAAAGTGCTGATCTGTATAATAAACTAACACCATATTGAATTTTACAGCCTATTGCACTTTTGAGTTGAAGAAGTTAACAAAAAAAAAAAAAGGCAAACATAAGTTTCTCACAGATGTCAGCACATATGGTAATGGTACCTTAAATGGTGCAGTCATATATACATACTACACTTTAAGGCAGATTAAGACTGTTAATCTTGCTTATAATTCATATAATAAATCTATTTTGAAAAGCATACATGCACTACATATATGTATATATACATGTATTTTTAAATACATGTGTGTGTATGTATGTGTACATGTGTGTTAGTGCATATACTTGAATTCTTTAGACTGTTTACTTAAAATCTCCTTCAAGCAGACTTCTTCAAACTGTGCAGCAGTTCCTCTTACAAGGTGTCCTATTGAAATAATTAGTTCTGTTGGGATTCCATGATAAACCTTATTATATGTGCATTTCTGTGTTAGTTCTCTCAGAAGCCAGCAGAAGATGTTTCTATTCTCGCTGTTGTTGATCACTTAGAGGTGGATGGGAAGTTCTTGTGCTTAGAAACCTAACATGGCACTTACTAACTAGAGTTTGGTAATGCCCTCTGAGTGGTGGAGTCTTAGCAACAAATTGTGGCCTGCCTTAAGTAAGAATTAGGTTGTAGAATGTCATCTTTTCCGTAAAGCTTTGCCCAAAGAGAGAAAGCTGCATATATAAGCCATGTATACAGGTATATTACACATGACCTTTAGTTATGGGCAATGCTTGGCTTTGCCCCAGTGTACTAACTGGTATCTTTTGCAACAGCAGATCTACTTGGTACAGCATTCCTACTGTTTACAGCTTTCTCAGGCAAAAGAAACATTGTGGTCCTGAAATCGTATTATGCCTCTGTATTTTCTCCTGAGCAATAATGTATTATCCCCTGTATGGTGCTCATAGAAAAGTCACAGTTCAATTTTATTTATCAGTGTTTGCTTCACTAAATATTTTGGGGTCATATAATGTGTAGGATGTTGGAATATTATGAAATAACTTCAACTTTTATTTTAAAGCTCTGGAGTATCCAAATCTTGATGTCTCTGAGTCAACTAGAGACTACTGGGTGATCACAGGTACCTTTTAATCTCTATCCCTCTTCCATGCACTTGAGAGAATAATTTTTAGTGCTCAATTCAATAAACTTGCTTGCACAGTAATTTTACAAGCAAATAAGTGGCTGCCCACTGAACATTTTTATTGCATTCAACTGGACAGATTATTTGAAGTTACACTTGGACATAACTGTGATTTGCTGGCCTAACAGAGAAGTCTCCTCAGACCAGCACTTACCTCGGAATTCACGCCACTCTGGGTTTAAGCACTTAGGAGAGCAACATTATGCTTGCAGAGTTTTGAAGCAAAAATGAGTTCCTTCTAGCTTCTTTCTGCGACTTAAATTTAAAACTGAAATCCAGACAG